CAAAAACAAAAAGCCTAACCTTTGGGAAAGACTCGGGCTAAGGATGGCAAACAGATTTTATCTTGCAAACATCATGGATCAATTGGTAGTGACTGCCTGAAGCCCTGTGCTGAGAAAAAGTAAGATTATTCAGCAGAATGTGTCGTGATTGATTAGCAATGTCTGCCATGAGCATGGCAGTAGAAAGAGGCTATCATACAACTACCAGGTACTTATTGACCCACAACCAACACAGGCTGTTGTTGACTGTTATTTGTTGTTATTAATATAAATAGAGCTGCAGCCTTGTTAAGTTCCTGATTTTAACTTCTACTTTGATCTGTATTTCTCTGTTTCTCCTCGTAGGAGTTTTTCCTTGATGGTACATGTCTTATGATACCCTAGGCAATGCTAGGTAAAAAAATTACCCTGCATTCTTGCAACTGAAAAGTTTCCTTCATTTTTACAGGAAGGGGCTGGAGTGACACCAGAAAGAACAGACCCATATCCAACTATCTACTAGGACAGACGAGTCAATTGTGATCATTCCTTTGAATGTAGTCATCCTGGGATATGCACACTCCACTGTTGCTCAGAGCAATCCCAGCTCACAGCACCATCTCAACAGTGGTGATGATCACCCTTGGAGGGTGGCTTGGAGAAAGAGCAAAGGCACCCCTTGCTGAGGTGGGTCAGTGCGTCTGGTGGCCAGGCAGGGTAAGTGGGTAGCAGAAGGTATGATGGGTTTTCTCATGCAGCCCTCAAGTCCATCCCCCAGGCAGTCTTCTAAAGAGTTTGACACAAAGACAGCACCCCTGGGACCAGTGTGCAGACCCCTAGTGAAGGCTCGGGGGAGTGGGGAGGGGGTAAGGAGGGTGGGGAAGTGGGTTCTGGAACTTGATTATCCTGCAGTCCAGCTATGGCTGCCACACCAGTCACACGAGAGGAGTTTCTGCTGAGTCAGCTGCTAGAGTGGTAGAAGGTGAGGAAGTGGCAGGTCCCCATCCACCCTTCCTGGGTCTCTGCTTCCTCGCCGAGGAGATGATAAGGGGAGCTCTTTAAGCTATCTCTAAGATCCAGACCCCGTGGGTCCTGGTATCTTGTGTGACCAAAGAAAGGATACCAGAGAGCTCTGGGGTCAGATTAGGCATCGATGCACATTTTTGGAGACTCACTCTGTGGCACAGGTGTGCTCCACTATAATGGAAAGTTTCCCTGCTCAGGTGCCCTGGCGCCTAGCCAGACGCTTGGTGTGTTGAGATGGCGCCAGAAGAGGGGTCGGGGCTCATACTGGGCAGAGTCGGGGCGGCCTTGCAGCCTTCAGCAGGCTTTCTGTTCACCGCTGAGGAAAGCAGAGGCACCTCCCAGATTCCAGCTGGGAGTGGGGCCTGCAGGCTGTCCCGCAGGCCCCTTGGAAAGGACCATAGTCCCCAGGGAAATGTCAGGACTCACAGGCTGGCTGGTAGCATTCTGTCCACCCAGCAGTGTTCCCTCCCCTCCCCACAGATGGAAGTGATCCCAGGCCTTGCCACTGGGCAATGGGAGCAGGACAGGCCTGCCTCGGTCTCTGCCTGCTCTGCCCCCTCACCTTCCAACGCCCTCCCTGATGGGCAGCCCCTGCCCTGAGAACAACTCTCCCCAGCAGGGCCGGGCCGTCTCCTGACTGCTCCTCAGCCTCTCCCTCTCCAGTGTCCCCGCCCTGCCCTCTGGCTGTCCTGATCCCCCAGTGTCTGCCTGGTTTGCTCAATGTTGGAGTGCCCTGGCAGCCCAGCCCACCCACTTCCTCCCCTGTCCTCTGTGGCTGGAGACACCGCTTCCAGGCAGCCTGTCAGACCAATCGACTGGCTCTGCTGATCTGGCTCAGGCTCGGGGACCTGCATTTTCTCTGGCCTGGTGGCTTGATTGGTCACTGATCCGAGGCCTCGCCAGGCCCTGGTATCTGTGTGTGCCCCGGGTCTCGGATCCTCACAGGATCCTGAACTCAGGCTGAGCTAACTAGGATCATTCTAGACTATTCTAGGGCTCCCTGACCCCGGGCTTCCTCTCCTGCCTCTGCTGTCCTTACCTGGCACAGCTCACCTCTGACACCGACACTCTACCTGTGAATGGTTCTGTCGGGCGTAGGACACAGTGAGGAGCCTGGGGTGTGGGGAGAAGGGCCTGAGGGGACGTGGGTCTTGTTGGTGAGGAATAATGAGGTAGACGGAACATGTGACAATACAGGGACACGCATAGGGGCACAGGGTGACGAGCATGGCTGCTTAAAATAGGTGTCTGTTGTAAGACCTCGCTAGGTTATTTTAAAAATGCTAATTAAGTCGTCTTTGGTAGTTTTGAGTCAGGATCGAGTCTGTGTTAAACAGTTGGTGGAGGTCCTCTCAGCACAAGTTAGGAAGAAGGCTTTGGCATCAAGGACCAGAGAGCTTAGTTTAAAAGCAGTTGAAATGATACTGTTCTAGCTGTAACAAAGTTACAAGGTTTCCCGAGGGCAAATACGCCTGGAGGCCATTTCCTTCTTTCTGGAAAGGGCATAACGGAGGCAGAGGGGATGTGAACTCACATGGGCCACAACCTTGCTACCCAGTGTCGTCAACTGGACTGTTTCCTTGACAATGTGATGCCGGGGGTGTCTGAGCTGAACAGGGCTCCCCCTCTTCCTCCCTTATTCATGGTCCCCAGCTCAGCTCTCTGCCCTGTGCCCTCATGGTTCCCTGCAGGCATCAGGGCGGGGCATGCGGGGAGGGTTCCTTATGCCAGGAGGCCACAGGCGCTAGTGAGGAGGACACAGGTGAGCCGCAGGGGAGAAGCAGGCCCAGCCACGCAGATCTCCCTGTGAGCACCCACACCCCGCAGGATCTAAACGCCCAGACCATCTTGGCCCCTACCCCTCCTCGGGCCCTGCTCCCCACATCCCGGCCCAGCCCCAGCCCCCCAGAGAGGTGTGGTGCCCGCGGCTACTCACTGGCGAGGATGACCATGTCCATGCCCCAGAAGATGCTCATGATCCAGCCCACCATGACGATGGCCGTGAGGATCTGGATGAGGGCAGCAGCGATGTTCAGCCAGAAGACGCAGCACACATGCCTGTCTGGGAGGTCAGTGCGGGCACCGCACAGCACGGTGAAAGCCGAGACGAACGTCCCTGTGAGAGGCGGAGGGGACAGTCTTCTGAGGGCACTGGGAGACACCGCAGCACACGTGCTCATCACTAGCCTGAGGCCCAGCGGCTCGCCCTCTGGGAGCTCTGAGAGGAGCGGCCAGTGTCGGCACCTTCCTGCTCAGACCACCCCTCACCCCCAAACTAGAGAGGCCGATGCCCTGGCCTGAAGGAGGCATGACCTGGGGCTGCCAAGGACCCAGAATAAGTCCTGAGGCCTCTGGGGGACACAGATGTCACATGACAAGTAGAGCAACATTGCAGCCACCTGCAAGGACAACAGACGGCAGGTAGAAAGGATACCTTGTGTGGCAAAGATTCTAAGGGCCTCAGAGTTCAGAGGTGGAAGCCACCCACATGATAAATTCAGGAAAGGACCCCCAGCACACATACCAACTGCAGCTGCCTGCAGAGAGGGGACAGTGCAGGCCAGGGGACATCTCCTGGAACCCTCCCCTACTGAGCAGGTGTTTCTGACGCTTTGCTATCTGGGGCCTTGCTGGCCCTGGAGAGACCCCACCCCCACCCCAGGGCTAGTCAATTCCTAGAGATAGTGAAAGGCTTTCCCATGCAAGCCAGCCAGCCCAGAGTCCACACCTGGCCTCCTCCTTTATGGGCTCTCACTCTCTGGGTCATAACCCCCACCCTAATCACCCAGAGCCAGGTACAGACAATTGGGGCAGCCCCTACACCCCAGAGACCACTGAAGTGATTCAAACTAGCCAATCGTAAGTCTGCTTGCCTGTCTTGCCGTTCCTTCCCACGGGAACCACAGGAAAGGCTCCTGCCCATATCTTCCCCTCACTCCCCCTGCTTCCCACCTGTCCCTGGATGCATCCTCATGTGTCACCCCAAAGGGCAATGTGCCCCCTCCTCTCAGGAAACGTGAGTGAATTATCTTCTCAGTGGCCAGCGTTTCCTGATCTGTTGGCCTCATTGTATCTAAATAATAAATAACTTTCATTTTAAAGCACACACACACACAGAGCCAAGAATTAAGTTTCTTGTCTAAGGTCATACTCACGGTGGGCATTGACCTCACCGCTGTCTGATGCCAATGGCCACGCCCTGCTTGGCCTCACAGGTGGAGAGACCTGGGAAAGCAGGTCCAGACAAGAGAGCAGGCCACTTGGGAAATCAACCCTGCTTCTCACACTTCCTGCTCCGGGAGGAAACTTCCCAGCAGTTTCGGGGACAGTGAGAGGGGAGCATCGATTTCTCTCCCTCCCTGCACCCTGGTTCTGGCCCATCCCTGCCCAAACTTGGTGGCTCCCACTGGCTTCCCGATGTGGCCTTTCCCTCTGCCCACACCTTTGTGACTCAATTGAAGGCTAACCCCTGAGACCACGTGCTGGTTTCTGATCCCAACCTTGCCCCATCCTCCTCCTCAGCTGAACAACGGCCACCACTTGGGTGTGTTCCTGCCTCCTGAGTGGCCGACAGCTCCTCTGAGGGCCCGGTGGCATCCCATCCACCTCTGCCCCCAGCAGCACAGTGCCTGGTGTACAGGAGCAGGGATGTGGGATCCAAAGATATGCAACCAGTGTGAAGTGCAGCCTCAGACCACCTGCATCCTCACCTGCAGGATCTGTTTAAAATGCAGGTGTCTGGGTCTCCATCTGAGAGCTGGAGGTCTAGGGGGGCCCAGGAATCTACATTTCCAAGCAAGTTTCTCCCTCCACTTAGGTAATGATAATGCTCATTAATGTGTGAGAACCCTTCGCATTTCTGGCACAGAGCCCGGGGTGGCCCTACGGGAGACTCAGAGAGGCCAAGGCTGGTCTTCCCCTCTCACCAAATGGGCAGTCCATTTTGTCAGCAGGGGGTTGGGTGGACTGAAAGTGTCTGAGATGAGAAAGACAAACTTGGAGAAGGCAGAGCTGAGACACAATGGAGATACAGACTCAGGGTTTGGTAGTGGACACAGGAAGAAACAGGGGACATAGGGCCCGTTAGAAAGTGTGTGTCACCATCCTTTGCCTCTGCTCGTGTATCACGCTGTGGAATATGAGACAAACACGAGCTGACACTATTAAAAAAGAGAACATTACCAAAGAAGAAAGCTGGTGAAAGATGAACAAGAGGAAGATATTAAGTAACATTAACACGAATACCATCAACTACACACCTACAGCGTGCTGCAGCTTGTGCCCTCCTCTACCAACACCGTCTCTCATTCTCACCATCTTACCAGATGGAAAAACCAAAGCTCTGAGAGGCTGAATGACCTGCGCTCATAGCAGAGCCCAGATTTAAACCCAGATCTGCCTAAAGTGAAAGCCAGAGCTCTTTTCCATCTGAGATGTTGCATCCTTACATTAAAAATTAAGGAAAGTTACATAAAACAGGATGGCCGTTCCTCAAAAAATTAAAAATAGACTTGCCATCTAACCCAGCATTTCCACTTCTGGGTTTATACTCAAAAGAATTGAAAGCAGAGCCTGAAAGAGATATTTGTACTCCCGTGTTCATAGCAGCAGTGTTCACAACGGCTGAAGCACGGGGGCAACACAAGCGTCTATAGATGGATGAATGGATAAGCAAAATGTGGTCTATACATGCAATGGAATGTTATTCAGTCTTAGAGAGGAAGGAAATTCTGACACATCTACAACATGGATGAACTTTGAAGACGTTATGCTAAGCGAACTAAGCCAGTTACAAAAGGACAAATACTGCGTGACTTCAGTTATATGAGGTAGCTAGGGTAATCAAAGTCATAGGAACATAAAATAGAATGGTGGTTGCCAGGGGCTGGGGACAGGGGGGAGGGCGAATGAGGCGTTATTGTTTAATGGATTCAGAGCTTCAGTGTTGCAAGATGAAAAGAGTTCTGGAGCTGGATGGTGGTGATGGCTAAACGACAGTGTGAATGGCATTAAGATGCCACTGAACTGAATGCTGAAGAATGGTTAAGATGGTAAATTTTATGTTATGTATGTTACAATAAAAAGAACTGGGGGAAAAAGGAAAGAAACTTCATCATTAATGATCCTCAAAATATCCTTGAATGTCTCCCTGTGCCCCAGCCAGTGTCCTTCGCAGAAGCCCTGAAGCAGATGGTGCCTCGACTGTGGCCAACAGTGTCCTGACTCCGTGGGATCTGGCTGAGCTCCCGTGACCCTGTTTCTTTGTAGCCATGGCCTCGCCTCAGCCTTCCTGCCTAAGAAACGGGAACATGTTTTTATTAGACTGAATCATATGAAACTGCCATTTTTATAGGTCAAGACTAGCTGAATAACAGCAATTTCATATGGCTCAGCCTACTATGTATATGGAAATCTTGAGCATACGGAAACTCTGAACTCAGTGTTAAAGTTAGAAGGTCATCTAGTCCATCTCCTGTCAAAAGATAGACTCTCACCAGAACTGCCCAACTGATTAGAGGCCAACAAGCCTCTTCGTGCATCTGCCTGCTTGCCATGGAGACCGGGGCACCCGGGCACAGGCAATGTCAGCAAAGAGGAAGGTTCATCTGCTGGGAAAGCTGGGCTAACCCACATTTTATTTAAAAGAGGAGACAACCTCAGCTCCGGTGTGGCGTGGGAGGGACTTTTGGTTACTATTTTTGTACTCACATTGATGCTTACATTGTGATAACTCTAAGACGTATATGAAAATATAAGCACATTGTTCACGTACTGACATGTACAATAAGTACATATATTACCGGCAATTGCATTTATTTGGAGAAATTAATTATTAGTTTGGATAAATAATTTCCCTAATTAGGAAACAATGCTGATCGGTCCTTTTGACCTTATAAGGCAACATATGCCATCAAAGGTAAGGGTGAAGTGAATGGATTTATAATGTAAAAACATTGTTTTAATCTATTCAATGGGAAAATTTGTAAATGATTTTAGCACAGTTCCATATGAAGAGGTGTTTATTACTTTAAATGAGTCTTACCCTGGCTCTGAGGTCAATAAGATGTGCTGCTTGTCAGAGGCCCTGGCTTATACCTGGACAGCCTCTGTCACTCCTCCAGGGAGGGCTGGTTGAGCACAAATCTCTTACCAGCACAACCTTGAATGTGAGCTTTGGGGGACAGGAAGGAAATGTAAGGGAAGGCTTGGCCTGGACTTCACATCTGATTTTGAAGGACAAGCCACATCCTACAAAACAGGTCCTGCTGCTGACAGTCCAGTTCAGAGCCAGAATGAGATAAATGGGTGATCACATTCAGGGGCAAACTCAAGCTCTATGAAATTTCAATTCTCAAACCTTGCAGGGCATGGGATGCAACGGGGATTGTGCTAAAAATATACTTTCCTGGGCTACACCACCCAGAGATTTCTAATTCAGTAGGTCTGGTCATTATCTTTTCATCACTGTGCAATCATTTTAACCAGAAATGGGAAAGGAAAGGAAAGAGAAGTGACTACAGGTTCACCAATGATTCTGGAAAAAAAGTCCTTGGAAGACAGAATTAGGATAGTTATCATTTATAATAGCCAAGATAGAGAAGCAACTTGAGTGTCCATCGACAGATGAATGGATAAAGACGACGTGGTATATATATACAATGAAATCTTAGCCATAAATAAAACGAAATCTTGCCATTTGCTACAACATGGATGAACCTAGAGGGTATTATGCTAAGAAGCTAAGTGAAATAAGTCAGACAAAGACAAATACTGTATGATGTACATGTGGAATCTAAAATACAAAACAAATGAACAAACATAACAAAATAGAAACAGAGTCACAAATAGAGAAAACAAACTGGTGGTTGCCAGAGAGAGAGATGGGGAGGGGGAGGAGAGAAATAGGTGAGGGAGATTAAGAGGTACAAACTTTCAGTTACAAAATGAGTCATGGGTATGAAATGTACAGTGTGGGTAATATAGTCAGTAATTATGTAATATCTTTGTATGGTGACAGATGGTAACTAGACTTATCAGGATGACCATTTTGAAATGCACAGAAATATCAAAACACTATATTGTATAACAGGAACTAACATAGTGTTACAGGTCAATTATACTTCAATAACAAATAAACAAACACACTCTTGGAAAAAGAGATCAGATTTGTGGTTACCAGAGGTGCGGGCTGTGGGGAGTGGGAATTGGATGAAG